AGAATCAAAACAATTCCAGCAGGATAGTCTCTACTTTGAAATTTCACAAAAATAAATTTAAATTCAAATGGCACAAAACCAACTTTGAAATAACCCTTGAGATATTCATTTTGATGTACCAAAATCCCAAAATGAAATTGGAACAAAAATCACATCGAAATAATCTAGATCTTCACAAAAGCACACTTCGAAAGATATATATATATACTTGAGGCATTCTAACCACACTTGGTTTAAAACTAGTACTCAAAGAGACAATTAAAAGATGAGCTTCAAGCCTTCAAAGAATCATTTACTTGAGATGCTAGTGGCTAATTTGAGCACTTGAATGATAAGGAACAAGCCATTTGAGAGAAAGTACACATCTATAACAAGAGATTCAACATAATCAATTGAACAAGTTTTGTTCATACCAATTTTTAGAGAGTTATAATGGTTACTTTTGGATGGTCTTTGGATATGTTATAAAGGGGAGAATTTGGAGTAACTATCATGAAGAAACCATAGTGGTTTGAGCTTTTGATATGAGTGTTTTGGACTGAAAACGAGGAAAGGAACCAAGGTTGAAGATTATAAACAAGTTCCACTCTAAACATTCCCAAGGTGGCTATAGAAGTCCAATCAATCTGAAATTTTGATATGTTATAATAGACAGCATTTCAAACAACTTTGATGAAGGAACCAAAGTCATTTGAGTACAGGAAATCACAGAAACCAACTGAAACCGAGCATACTGCTGTGAAATCAGGAAATGGTAAACTTATTGTGATCATACCAACGTTTCAGAGCCTATACTAGTCGGATTGAGCTGAACTTTGAGTATGTTATAGGAATCATGGAAATGAACAACTTTTATGAAGGAAGTTTTCTCATTTGAGCTTCCGAAATATGAGTTCTCAACAGCTTCAAGAAAGTGACGAATTTTGGATTTTGAAGAGGAATAAAAGAAAAATGAGAATGAAGATAAGTGAATGAGGAAGAAAGGATGATACAATGAATGATGAGGATAAGAGTGAATTTATGATTGAAAAGCCTTAATTAGAATAGGTGAGTCATCCATTTAGAAGTGGGTGATACAATGAATGAGAAGAAGAGGATGAGAAAGAATCTTAAGCTAGACTAGGTGACTCACCCCCATAGGTTTACAGTGAGTCACCTTTATATATAGAGTAAAGATCCATGTCCAATAAGAAATAAGAGTCCTAATCAATCTTGGAGAATCAACCGCTAGCTTAGATGATTCTTCTTCAATTCTAAGAAATTAGATATGATTAGATTTTCATAAAATTTATGTTCATATATTTAGGAGAACATTATTAGATGTTTCAAAATTATCTTGCAGTTTAAGGGCATGTTTGAGACTTCTAGAATTTTTTAGGGCTAAAAACACTTTTAAAAGCATTTGATAGAAAAGCTTAAAGTGCTCACTTGCTTAAAAGAAACCTTGGATTTTTAAAAAGAATTTCGACATACATATAATAAAAAGTGCTTATGGCCAAAACGCTTTCGAGTAAAAATGCTTGCTACATGAGCAAATCCCAATAAAGAGACCTTTGAGTACGATTACCATACTAGTTTTGACAGTCAGCTGATTCATGGGGATTGTCTCGTCCCTCAATCAGTCGGCCTAAAAATCGAAGTGTCTATAATTCATATTCTAAGTTGGCCTAGCTCATTTTGAAAAACTTGTTTCTGTCACTGATAATAGTCGAGACGAAAATTACACTCAATGGATGATAGGGGTATAATTGATTCAAATAATTAACCATCCACCTGAAAACTATTTCACATCCAAAAAAAAAACAAACAAACAAACAAAAAGAAATTAAACAATCTAAAGAAATGGAGGTGGCAAGTATTTGCTCCAATCTGGAAATAAGTCATCCTCTACATAGTCTAATCTCTAGTTTTCAGCGTCTTCTACAGATTGGAAGGTTTTGTTAGATTTCATACATTCTCACGGAACAAAATTATAGAGCCAGCAGAAGAAAAATTCTATATCGAAAAGACAAAAGGGCTGAAAACTAATACCATGAATTAATGGTTTCTTAGGTAAATATATGTAGTTTTTACAGTGAACTGTAACAGAGGAAACCCAAAAAGAAAGTTACTGATAACACTGCCAGAGAGAGGCAACGTAATCACTCACTACAACTGAGTATATTTGTACTCAAAAGTTTACTAACTGTGACTCTGAGTTACCCTTCTTCTTCCCATAGATGTTGATTTGTTGAAATGCTCTTTTTAATTCTTGGTTCTGTGTCAAGCTGAGAAATATTAAGGCTGTATCCAATTCCCTGTAGAAATCCTCCTCATATCGGCTTCAATCAATCGAATCTCGACTGCTCTCGTTTCAGGTACCTGTGTTTAGTCTCCCTGTGTAATGCTACTTGCTTTCATTCAAAGCTTGAAGCTAAGTAGAATTGGTGGCCAATTTCAATTGACTCTGTGTCCATGTCCATGTATCCTAACCAGTACTTTCAGACTATTTAAAAAAATTGAACACATAAATATCTCTAAAGGTTTCCATGCAAGTATTCCTCATGTACAATCATCAATTGTTCGGCCACCTGTACTGAAAAATTACTTGATAAGCAGATGATCAAATATATAAAACTGCATGCACAGACAACAAATTATATATACACACAGAAATTCTTTGTGCAGGACGCCATTTCTCGTTGAGAAAATATTACTTCTACTCAATTATACATGCACGAGATATAAATTGGAGTTGCTATATATAATGCTTAAATTCTAAGTTTAAGTTGGAAATCTGTCACATACCAAAGATCATGAACATATTATTAAACAAGCTGAATCTAATTAAATCATTTGAGAGGGTGGTTTATATATACCTCCTCGATGCTTCCGTCCTCTATGTCTGTGTTGAAAGACAGAAGCATGCGTTCATGTAGCAAGTTTTCTAGATCTTCCACGTAACGTGGTGCTGCACGTTTACGCATAAATTAATGTTTTCTTGTAAGACAGTTTGGCTTCCAACGTCACAGTTGCAATAGATATATAATTGGAAAAATGTGCTTAGATGCATGTGAATATATGCATGCAATGCAAGTGAATGAATCAAATAAAAAAAAACCACCTTTGGATTGAGAGAACCAAGAGAGAATATCGGCAGAAAGTTGCTGGGCTTTGCGGGTTGAGTCTCGGCCACCCCACTGGTTCTGGACAGCCATTTCAAGGCCATTCCATCGAGATAGAACCGCCGAGATGCCCTGTTCCAGATGACCATGACCAGACTTTTCTACGTTGATGGGTTCCATGGAATCCAAGTACTGGATTCTGGACCCGACCCCGCTCGATTGGTTAGCCCGAACTCTCTCTTCTTTCTCTCTGCCTTGGTGTTGGATCGGAGGATGAGGAGGGCAGGGAGGAAAAGAGAGGCAGAGAGACAGAGGAAGAGGCTTTGTTGTTGAGTCTTTTTGTTCGTCATGGGAGTTGGAGTTGGGAGAGAGCGCGGAATGTGTGGAGTGGACAGAGAAAGACTCGGGGAAAGGTGCGATTCATGTGAGGTGCTAGAAACAGGAGGCCAACTTAGTTAGTTGTGCTTTTTTGTCTGGCAAGTCTTCACACATTTCACAAGAATTTTCTATATGCATATGCGTTTTCAATTTTATTTAATAAGGAAATTTGGTGCCTGTGTTGGCCTTCCACAGCCTGCTAAGGATTTTTTGTTTCCTTTTCATCAAGAGAACAAGAGATTCGAACTTAGAATCTTTTTAATTGAACCGAACTTATACCGAATTTAAATGTTAAACAGACTGATTCAACAAATAAAAAACCTTAAATTTTTGGCTCAACCCAACATTAAATGAAAGTGTGTATAATACCGAGCCGTCTTTAAACGGGCACGCTCGTGCAGAATTCGGACCGGCTCCAAACCCTGAAGTCTGAACGACATGTCGTTAACACAAACCGCCAATAAGGTTCAAAAAATCTTCATTGACAGAAATCCCTGGTGAAGAAACATCACAAACGCTCTTCATGCTCCTCTAACTCCCAAACCATGACCGCAATTACCAACAATGCCATTCCTCACTCCCAACTCGCTCGCCTCCCTGGTCCAATCAGCCTTGTCGACTCAGTCCACTCTGCTTGGCCGAGCGGCACATGCCCAGATGATCAGAACCCTCGACGACCCACTCCCTTCCTTCCTCTCCAACCACCTCGTCAACATGTACTCCAAACTCGACCTCCCCGACTCAGCTCAACTCGTCCTCCAACTCAACCCCTCTCGCTCCGTCGTCACCTGGACCGCCCTCATCGCCGGTTCTGTCCAAAACGGTCATTTCGCCTCCGCCATACTCCACTTCGCTAACATGCTCCGCGAGTCTGTCCAGCCCAATGACTTCACCTTCCCCTGCGCCTTCAAGGCCTCTGGGTCGCTCCGCTTGCCTGCCACCGGAAAACAGGTCCATGCGCTTGCGGTTAAGGCCGGGCAGATATGCGATGTCTTTGTTGGCTGCAGTGCTTTTGATATGTACTGCAAAACGGGTCTGCGGGATGAGGCTCGGAAAGTGTTTGATGAAATGCCTGAGAGAAACCTTGCGACGTGGAATGCGTACATGTCTAATGCTGTGCTGGACGGGCGGCCGCTTAATGCGGTTTACAAGTTTATTGAGTTTCTGCGGGCGGGCGGGGAGCCCAATTCGATCACATTCTGTGCATTTCTCAATGCGTGCTCGGATACGTCGAATTTGGAGCTCGGGAGACAGTTACATGGGTTTGTCATGAGATGCGGGTTTGGAAAAGATGTGTCGGTTTTAAATGGGCTTATTGACTTTTATGGGAAGTGCAGGGAGGTTGGGTCTTCTATGATGGTTTTTGATTCAATTGATAAGCGCAATGATGTTTCTTGGTGTTCTTTGGTGGCTGCGTGTGTGCAAAATGATGAGGAGGAGATGGCATGTGAGTTATTTTTGCGGGCTAGGAAAGAAGGGGTTGAGCCAACTGATTTCATGGTTTCGAGTGTTCTAAGTGCTTGTTCTGGGCTTGCATGGCTTGAACAGGGTAGGTCAGTTCATGCAATTGCCGTGAAGGCATGCGTCGAGGGAAATATCTTTGTTGGGAGTGCACTTATTGACATGTATGGAAAATGTGGGAGTATAGAAGATGCCGAGCGCGCCTTCAATGGGATGCCTTCAAGGAACTTGATCTCTTGGAACGCAATGGTAGGCGGGTATGCTCATCAAGGACATGCCAACATGGCTTTGGCATTGTTTGAGGAAATGACCGTCCAAAGTCATGAGGTTAAACCCAATTACGTTACCTTGGTTTGTGTATTATCAGCATGCAGTAGGGCAGGGGCCGTGGAAACGGGGATGCAGATCTTTGAGTCAATGAAAGCAAAGTACGGAATTGAACCAGGGGCAGAGCATTATGCATGTGTTGTGGACTTGCTTGGAAGAGCTGGGATGGTAGAGCGTGCTTATGAGTTTATTACAAAGATGCCAATTTGTCCAACAATTTCCATTTGGGGGGCACTTCTAGGGGCTTGCAAAATGTATAGGAAGACAGAATTGGGGAGGGTTGCAGCTGATAAGTTATTTGAACTTGATCCTAAAGACTCTGGCAACCACGTGGTTCTTTCTAATATGTTTGCAGCTGCTGGCAGGTACGAAAAATGCTTACCAAATGTATACTTCTTTGACGGTAGATTCATCATTTTCAATTCCATTAGCATCTGTATGTTGCATAAGCAATGTATACCCAGAATCCTAAGAGGCTAGAAGCTATGGTTTTGAAGCTATGATGTAGGAGCCATAGAGGCATTGTTTTGCTTTCATTATCGGGGCCCTTTGCCCCCCATATATTTGAACGAACTGATTTATGTTTGACAATGAATGTATTGCAGGTGGGAAGAGGCCACACTTGTGAGAAAGGAGATGAAAGATGTCGGGATCAAGAAGGGTGCAGGGTACAGTTGGATTGCCGTCAAGAATGCAGTCCACATCTTCCAAGCGAAGGACACCTCCCACGAAAGGAATTCGGAGATTCAGGCAATGCTAACCAAGTTAAGGAGGGAAATGGAGAAAGCTGGGTACATTGCCGATACCAATTTTGCGCTGTTTGATTTAGAAGAAGAAGAGAAAGTATCAGAAGTTTGGTACCACAGCGAGAAGATTGCCCTTGCTTTTGGCCTCATAGCCATCCCTCCCGGGATGCCTATAAGGATTACAAAGAACCTTAGGATCTGTGGTGATTGCCATGGTGCGATCAAATTCATCTCAGGCATTCTAGGTAGAGAAATTATTGTGAGAGATAACAATCGCTTTCATCGCTTTAGAGATGGTCATTGCTCGTGTAGGGATTATTGGTGATGAATTGATACCTTCTAACCATTATTTATGTCATTATTATTCTTTCCAAGAAAATTAGATACACAACATCGTAGATTTGCAATGCTCGATTGGTATTTAGCTACATTGTAAAATAACAGGTGAATGATTATTTAGTCTAGTAGCATCTAGGTTTTACAGTCTAGAATAATGGGGTCAATTACAATTTTACCTTATGATACTAGATCTTCACTTTGTTGGAAGAAGTTTTAAGTTCGAAATTTGCGGTGGTTGAATAAAAAAGAAGGCCTTGCCTATTGTGTCTACTGACGTCCCACGACGTCGTTTTCATATATAAAAAGAAGAAAAAAAGAGTAGTCTAAAACAATAAATAGAATAGAAGCTACAGCCCCAAACAGATTACCAAATAGGCGATTAGAAGAAATGGCGGCAGCAATAGCAGAAGGAGTGAGTCTCAACCATATTTCCAGGGAATCGTCCGATATCAGGCGCCTCGCCAATTTCTACAAAGAGGTTGTTTCTTCAAGCTTCCAATTTTTCCTTTTCATTTTCTATTATCACTTTAATTTTGACAAGCTAATTGGTAATTAATTTAATTACAATTAAAAATTCAATTTACGGTGGTGGTGGTGGTGTTGGTAGATATTTGGGTTTGAGGAGATAGAGAGCCCAAACTTGGAATTCAAGGTGATATGGCTCAAGGGCCCTGGAGTTGCCTTCCACCTCATCGAGAGGAACCCAGATTACAACCTTCCAGAAGGACCCTGGAGCGCCACGTCACCTGTTGCTGACCCAAGCCATCTCCGCAGAGGCCACCATGTCTGCTTCTCCGTCTCAAATTTCCACTCCTTTGTCCAAACCCTCAAGGTTGCTGCCTTGCATCCATTTTCAACTATCATTTTGGGGTTTTTATGAATTGAAGATCTTTTTTGTTGTTGAGATATTTAGTCATATATCCATTCTTAGCACTAATAATATGGATAAACCCTACTCCATTTAATTTCTATAAACAAACTCAAAAAATGACAGCTGGTTTTTGTAGGTTGCAGGTCGCATTTCTAGACTAGGAGTTGAATTTTGCACAGTTTAATTGTTGAAATTTCAATTGGGTGCTGGTTATGGAATTTTATAGAGTCTAGAAATGCGAATTGCAATCATAGATGATTGTTCTATTTGATATAAGGGTTTAGGGTTTTTCGCATTCCTCTGAGCAAACCCTGGTTCAAAGCTTTGGCATGTTTTTATTTTTATTTTTTATAATTAATTTATATTTTCTTCCTCTCTTTGACGTTCCCAAATTTGGTTGTGCAGGACAAGGGAATTCAGACATATGAGAAGTCCTTACCTGATGGTAAGGTCAAGCAAGTATTTTTCTTTGATCCCGATGGTAAGCTTTTTTAGTCCCAATTATTATATTTTGTTGGTTTCAAGATTAAAACTTAGGGGAGAGCATATTAATAAACTAAAATTCATATTTGGATAAGCATGCACTGATCAATTTGTTTTGGAACAAAATTACAAGATCAACATGATCTGTTACGAAACGAATTGAAAAATTAAACAAAGTATCGAATTGCATACCTCATTTTGAAGTTGAAAGATGATTCTGTTGCAGAAAAGTATCTACAATCCTCTGACCTTTTTATGCATACAGATTATATATATACACTTGCTTTTCAATCAGTTTTCCCAGTATCTTACTATTAGGAAGAGAAGAATCTTTGTCATTGCTCTCCTCTCAGTTTTTGAATCATACTTCATTGTGCAGGCAATGGATTGGAGGTTGCAGGTCAATGAACTCGACACCGACACAGAAGGCTGCTCAAAATGGTCAAGTAGATTCACATGAAGCAGACGATCTGTAAATCTTACTAAGATTTTCTTACAGTACAGACAATAAGTTGCAATGGCCATTTTCATCTATCCAGTTGTACCTCAAGGGTTCTTGTAGTTAAGATGTTAAATATGTTGTATGCAGCTGTACGCCTCAAGTGTCCTTGTATGGATTTGCATACTGTGGTTGTTGGATATTTTGATATGGTAGATGTTGAATGCATAGTTTATTACCAAGTGACATTGGTTTGTGGCATGTGCTCGTTGTTCGCTTCTTGGGCTCGATC